GCAAGGATCTGTGCTATCCTGTGTTGCAGGATCAGGGCCAATATCGTGACAGTCAGGGAAGATAAAGGGTCAGAGTGAAGTAATTTAAAAAAAAATGTATCTGAAAATTGCTTTGTAAACAGTCAAATGGACATCCTTATTAAAACAGCCAAATTCAAATTGTGCGCGCCTATATGGCGGTGGTGGAGGGAGGGAGTGTTGGAGGAAGAGTTTTGCTCTTACAAATACTGAAGCTTTTGAGAGCTGTGTAAACTTTTGGAGCACTTGGTTCAGGTTTATAGTTTAGGCTTCTGATTTTATTTTTTGTTTTCTTTTAACAATTTGTTCCAAGCTGAAACTAGCCAAACCAAATACCCTATTTTCTCCAAAATATTTCATTTTATTTTAAACAATTTTTTAAGATGGCACAAAAATATATGCAAACTTTTCAGTCAAAATAATGACTGAAATCCAAACTTCTGCAGCCATGTGTCCAGAACCCCCTCTCCCCCCCCCCCCAAAAAAAAACCAAATGCCAATTCATTTAAAAGCTAAAAGCTAATAGGGGATTAATCCAGAACACAGCTAATTGGTTTTGGGGATTTTTTTTTTCCTGGAGTGCAACTGTGTCCTTGTCAGAGCCCTGAGAAACCAACTCCAATACATTTCTCAACTCCTTATTCTTATGGTCACACGTCAAGGTAATCATCCTAATTGAGAACTGATTACACAAACTGACAGACCTGTGAAAGGTGCTTAAACTTTACATCTCCTGCACACAGTTCTAATGTTAATTATACTTCGTTTTGCTGTATATTTTAACAAACATGATTTGAAGTCAGGCTGTTCGTATACAGCTACAGGAACTAGGTTAGCATCTTGTACCTGAACTCTTTATCTGCAGTCTATTCTTGCTCTTTTGTTGACCTATAATAGTTACAAGATAGTAGTGCTTTTATACGGTTTAACTTATTGCCACACACTGGCTTGAAGCTAGAGATTTTATTTGGAAGAATAGTTTAACTATTGTGTACTTCTAAATGTTAGTTGGGAAGATGTATTTGCCTCTCTGTCAAAGTTTAATGGAGCATGCAAGACCAATAATAAAACTGATTTGTTAGGCAACTCCTGTTTTCACGCTCAAATTAGAAGCATCTCTGAGGAGAAAGATATTTAACTGTGTGAACAGAACAGCGAGCAAGGGTATATTGAGCCTATGTTTGGTTATTTGTGCTGACTTATTGTGGCTAAGTACTAGAAACACACAAAGGACTTCTATTTGCTTATAAGGCCTTTACTATTGTAACAACACTACTTTATTATAGTGGCACCATTTTACATAAATTGTTTTCATAGAAATCAACTTTTCAAATATTTCAAGCATTATGAAAAAAAATCGATACATGGCATATTAAATTAACTGCAGAGGACTAAGTGTTGACTTCCACATAGTGGCTGTGGAGAAGAAATCTTTCAGATATGTTCATTAATCTATTTAACCCTGACATGAGGTATCTTTTGCCAGAACAGTCATTTGTCTGGGGCACATCAAAAGCTTTCAGACATAGTCCCATTCATAGTTAACTTTTCAGAACCAAATAATTAGAAGTGAGAGGGAAAAACGCATCCCCCCCTAAACAAACAGCTTCCAAATGATAGAAAAATAAGCGACTGAGGAAGCTAGGGAATGCCATAGATCATGGCAGTGAAAAACAGGTACAATATAAAAACATTTGTTAGAAAATAATGGATACCTCATACACAAAGAACAATCCAGGTCAGAGGGGTCCACAAATTCAAATGGAACGCAGTGCCCAGCACTAGATCCCTTGGCATCAATTGCACCTATTTATAATTGTAAAAAAAGTCATTGGAATATATAACTGGACAGACACAGCTATGTGACTGGTTTAACATTTCAAAGACAGACTGTTTTGGGAGTTCACAAACAGCATCTGATTTTAACATGTACCGTGATCACATACTGCATGTATTTATGAGTAGTTATTGAATCATTAGGATCATGGGAATAATTTGTGTGCAGACCCCCCCAAAAAAATCAGCCTTGGCATAAGTGGGCACAATTCACAGCAGGCTTGAATTTAATCTCACACAACCATGTTGTCACTGTTGGAAATATATAAAGGGCTGGATTCTCCTGTCACGCCACTGTCTATCCATGGAATGGAGGGCGAATCAGGCCCAAACACTTCTGTGGTCTCAGAGAGGTCATGAGCAATGAACAACATTCATGCTTTGTAGGTATGAATAAAGCAAGTCAAAATTTTGACTTCAATTATACTATTACTATTGGACAGAGTGCCATAAGTGTACATGGCACTGACATTTCTCATAATTCTCAGGGCTCAACTGGTAAACAAGGGCTTGGCCCAATCCCTTTTGTTCTCTTCCTAGATTTATTAGTGTAATTACTTTTACAGAGGAAACTGCACTCTCTCCACATCAGTTCAAGCCCTGACTATAATCCAGAGTGAATAGAAAAAAGACATGAAAATCTAATTTGGAGCCCAGTCCTGCATTCTTTACCTAGGCAAAACTCCTGCTGGAATTAAGGATCCAACACTGCATTCCTTACTAAGGCAAAATTCCCACTGCCTTCATAGCACAGGACCAGGCCCCCATTTTATTAAACAGGTTTACCTTTCTTCATGAGTTTGCAGGGCACCTCAGCACTTCTCATTTCCTCAGAGCAGTGCTTTCTCTTCAGAAGGCTGCATTTCTCAGAAATGAGAAGGGCAGACTCTGGGGCAGAGGCATGTTTGTTCTCATCTTCTGAGCAGCCTTTTTTACTTTCTATCATTTGAATGGATTTTCTCAGACTGCCAGTGTCACTCATTTTTTGTTCTTCCTGAGCAGGGAAACACTTTTTCTGTTCCACATTTACCTGTGCGAAAGAGGATTGTACATTAGGACTGCAGTTCTGTACCATTTTCATTCTGCAGACCACTTTGTAAGAGAAACACACACCACACACACACCACACACACACCACACACACACCAC